CGTCCCGCCGCCTCTATCCCTCCTTGTACTAACGGTGGAGCGCGGCGCGGCCGGGCACTGCCGCTTTCGGGCACCTCGGCGGGCGCTTTGTAGGGCGAGGCGTTAAACACAGCCCCGCAAGCTGTGTTCCAGTGAGTACATCATGTAAGAACTGCTCGCTTTCATTGTTTCCACCATGCAGAAAACACACCAATAATTAACAGGTTAATCCTAACCGAGATTATTTAAATCCAGGAATATTTTTAGGACGTTGCCCTTTGGGGAAATAAAGGGAGTGTGCTAATAGTGAAAAGTATGTGTTTATATTTGGAGTAACAACAATACAGAAATTAAAGAGAATTAAGAAAGACATCAAAAGTCTCCATCCCGTTTCTGTTATTAACTCCTCCATTTCACATCACCGTGCAGCATTTCTGAGCTTAGGCAATCCAACTTTTAAAATGTTCTTCCTTTTGAAGACCTGACCTTTGAAATGGAGGGATTTCAAAGCCTTTCTATTGGAACTACCCAAGCTGGCCAACAGGTAAAGTGCTGCACAAAGGGTAACTGTGCTCCATTTATAAATATGCTTTGCTTAAGCAACCCCCAGGAAGGCCAAAACACTGCAATACTCACAGTTCTGCTAGTCCCAGGATGTGCTACTGTTGTTCTCACTGTCTGCATGATTTCTGGGACTGAATTATGAGGGTTTAATTTTAAAGGAGTGTTTAAAAGGTTATTTGGCTTTAAAAACGTCCTATGTGATTTGAAGACATCGAAAGGAAAAAATGACTTAAAACTTTTCTTCTGAAATTGGAATATTATTCTCAGCTTCCAAAATAAATGGAAAATTGTATTTTGTTACTGCATAGGGAGTGGGCTTTTAAAATGGGGTTATTCTTTGGGATGTTTTCAGATGCAGTTTGCATTCTTTCAAGTGAGCTGACTGAGCATAGGCAGAGTAGCTGCACAGATTTGGTTAGTTAAGGAGGATGCCCATTCTGGTTGTGCTTTGGGAAGGTAAAGCAACGCAAGCCTTGAACAGGAAAGGCAATAAAACCACTGATAAAATCAGACCAGCCACCCTTTGCTGCAGTACTGTCAATCTCAACAGCCTCTGTAGGAAGAGTTTCTTTTTAGGTGCTGTTTACTTACTATTCATTTCTCTAAGTTATCCACCACTTGATTTTGAATATACATGTATAAATTATCATTTCTGCTTTGGTTATCTGTGAGCTGAAACATACTCACTTACACTTCTATTATTTACATGAAATCTGAAGAGGTCAAATGACTTTACAAAGCAGATGGTTTATTTTTCCAGTAGTGAATTATTTTAATTGGAACTTTTGTAAAACTACTTGTGAATCCACATCAAACCTCTTCAAATCACCCCCAAATCTTCCTGACACTCCAAATTATGGACAAGTGGACTGTGGGAAGAGAATATTTTTGCAGTGAATTCTGATAAACAGTAAAGCATCAACATTTTTCTCAATTTAGAACCTTAGGTTGGCTGTCAGAAATAAATGAATTCTACTTTAGTTCATTATTTTATGCCTTTTTTCATTATAAAATAATCCACCTTTTAAAGCCAGAAAAAGATAAGCAGAACTGTGCATGCAGCAAATATGGTACCACCTCTGCACCACACAGAACATGTTAAGCTTTGCTCCATATGCCAGGTTTTGACAGCAAAGATTTACAGGAATGAAGATGACATGTCAATCCCCCATGCTACTTTCAGATATCAAGGCCACAGAAAGGAAAACCAATTATACACAGTCCCAGAACAACAGTGGTTGGGAGAGGGGCAAGTGAATAGTGGTGGAAGCCTGTGAGATGCAGGAGGAGAGCTCCCATTGCCAAGAGCATGGCCAGCATGTTGCCCTAAGCAGGGAGTGCCATGGTGCGGGGCCAGTGCACCAGGAATGGCCAAGGTTCATATTATACTGAAGCAAACATGTTACAGTTGACACCTGCATTTCCTCAGTTACATCCAAAAGAGCTGCTCCACAAGCACATCTTCCCAACTGGTTTCTTGTGAAAGAGGTCTGGAAGAATTCCAAAGTCAGGTTTTTCCGCTTTGGAATAAAATAAGGACTTTCTTAGAAGTAATACCCACTTTTCGACCTTCATGAATGGGAATGTAGCCCCTTTTCCAAAACTGAAATGATCTGAAGCCAAAGCTAGTTCCATGCAATGAATATCCATGATATAGACAGTTTAGGATTTCTGTGTGCAGGATGAGATCATGTCAGAGAATTCAAGTATCTTACAGGATTGGTTTAATTAATTTAATCTTTTCTTCCCAACAGTCCAACGTTCTCTGCTTTGGAGGCTCTTTCTTTTCCTTTTGTCGATAAAGATGAGAAAAAAGTGGATACTGAAGGATTTTCATTTTATCTTTTGTGGTGTGCTCTGTCTCCTTTTCGTAGATGGAGGTAAACTAGAACAAGTAAAACGTAAGTAGACTTCAAAGCTGTCACCTTCACACAAATTTGACATTTTCCTTCTATTTGACTGAAATATCTTCAAACTGTGGTACTGTGTTCAAAACCTTCTAACTTTCTTCCTCCTAATCCTATGTTTAGTAGAATCAGGTCATCCCCAGGTTTGGGGCACTTCTTCCTGAAGCTGTACAGGTTTCATTGCATCATAAAGAACATAACACATCAATTGGAGAATCTGTTTTATTTCACATATCCTGAATCCAGAGAGTGCTTAATTCCATTTTCGTAAACATCTGACAGATTATCTGGATTCTGTCCCATGTGTAAGACTATTGTGCTGAAGTTTTCAGCTAGTGTAAAGCTCGTCCAAGACTGTTATGGTGTGTTCCAAAAACAACCTCATATGAACTGGATTAGATACATCCTTTGAGAAAATTAAGGGTTTAAGCGCTGTCAAAAACTTGATGAGCAGAATTGAAAAGAATACAAACAAAACAAAGGGAGTATTTCTACAAAGCCTGTCATCCGTGGGAGATGTTAACACATTTCAGAAAGCATGGCAAGGAGGAGTAACTACTCCAGTAAGACTGCTACAGCCCTGTTACTAGCTCTCTGGACTGCTCTCCTCACCTGCACGCTGGGTTTTGGCCTTCTTCTTACCAAAGACATTGTTTGCCCTTGAGAAGCAGTTACAATTTTCAGCCTCAGTATCAGGTGCTTCTGCTTCTAAGGAAATAGATGCATTAAAAAAAGGAAAAGAATGAGTTCCATAAAGGCCACGTTCTCTGTTGAACATGCTCCCAGGCAAACAATGTGCAGGTATCCCTGGTCACAGAAAGCACAGTGTGAGAAACTACCGAACTCCATTCATCTGCTTTTTCAGATCCTGCCTTTCATTTGTCATGCTTTAGTGTGAAGTGAAGGCAGAGCACTTCACAGTTGCTACTAATAATCCCTACCTCTTGCTACCTTCTTTTAGCCCAGTAAATGGGAAGAATGTCCCTTGTTTGGATTATCACTTGGAAAGAGGTATTTTGTTTGATACCCTGAAGTATCATCTATACTGAGGCTAGTGAATTTGGACATCATTAAGATAACAGGAAGGAATTCTCTTGTGGAAACACATGATAAACACCCTTTAATTGAAGAGATTTGAGTTTTCAGTGTGAAGCCATAACGTGACAGGGAGAGATCGGGCAATAATGTCTGACAGGTAGATGGATACCTGCAGAACTGCACCTGCACGATTAGAAGTGCTTAATGCACAAGAAGATCTTAAAATACTCTGAATGCTGAAGCATATGTAAGTTAGAACAAGTTGTTCTGAAACACTAGGACAAACTTCTGTTTTATTAGGTGGTTAAAATAGGGAGACACTGAACATGTAGTGTAAATACAGTGCATTTACCCTCCTTTTGCAGACCCCATGTTCAAAATCTCTCAGCTGTATAACCTGGGATTTTCCTGAGTTAAGCCAATTACTTTGGGTTTGCAATGAAAAGGTTTTGTTTCTTAAACCCATCTGAGCAATCAAGCACTTCAGTTTTGTTGGCATTTTAGCCAGTGGTTTTGCAGGTGAAAGGATAAACTCACCCTGTGTGACAGCCATTGTGTCAGCTATTTCAGGAGCTGCAGTTTTGGAAAGATGGGAGATCATGTCATTTATGTGGGGAAGTTAGAGACAACAGCACATGAAATCAAGGACATTTCCATTGTGTGATATTCTGGGGAAAGAACAAGTAGTTCACATAAAACCTAAGAACACTTTGTAAGCATGGAACGGGAACATTCATTCAAGCTCTTTATTCCTTACTGCTTTACAGACTCAGATACATACTGTGTGTTTCAAGATAAGAAGTACCGTGTTGGAGAGAGATGGCATCCTTACCTAGAACCCTATGGCCTTGTCTACTGTGTAAACTGTCTGTGCTCAGAGGTAGGACTGCTGAGTTATTAATCCTACAACTACTTCTACTTGCTTACTTGACCAGAATCCTTCCTGCTGTATCTACAACTTGACAAGCTCAAACCTATTTGCACTAGTAGGTCATGCTGCAGGAAAGAGCAGTTCCATCAATGTGGATGAACCTAAATCTGAAGTTGTTTGTATCTATGGACAATGCCCACGACTTCAGAGGCATTTCCACAGTCAAAGCACCTGATGCCCTAAAGTGCTAAAGGAACAGGATTGTATAACACTGCTTGTAGAATCTATGAAAGAAGAATCAGATGATGAAAAATGACAAAAAGGTTTGGGAAGCAGGGAGAACTGGATAGGACATGAAGGGATAGGTCCTTAGCTGTCATCAGCTGATGCCTGATACGAAGACACAGCAGCCACAGATCTCCTAAGTATGGCATTATACAGCTGGGGGGGGGCAGGAAAATGAGGTCAAAGTATGTCTCTTGGAGTACTTTAAAATGACTAAATAAGGGGCTCTTAATCAGTAACACATGAGACACTCCAGATGCTGAGTTTTGTCTGCTGTATTCAATGCAGAATAAAGTTTTCTTGGCTATTTCCTCCCCGCAAGTATAAAATATTGGGCCCTTGTGCAGCATTTGCTCTGAGGGATCTGCTACTACAGAGATGCACCAACAGTAGCCCCCCCGGCTTGGCTACATCTCAGATCTGTGCAGCAGAGAGAAGGCAGTAAAAGAAAAGCAATGCAGTAGGAAGAAAATGAAAAGTCCTTGGTTACAGCAAAAAGGAGTTTCCACTCATTTTTGCTGATCTGTAAGTGGAAAACTCCCTCAGAATCCATGTGTGGTAAAACACGTTAAATTGCTGGAAGGCTGTGTCTTGGGTGGGGATGAAATTAACTGGAAACCCTAGAGATCTGGATACAAATCATTGCTCAATGAGTTTCAGGAAGATGTTAGTCTGGAGGGATAGGAAATTGCATGGTATGCTCCTCTAGAGCACAGGCATACCCACACACTGTGAGGCTCCAACAAATGGAGTGTATTTCATTTCTTTCATGGCATGAAAGACCAGAGTGACAGTTCAGGGCAGCTGTTATTAAAGAAGTAAACTGTGGTAATGACCAGTACATGCAGCTCAGAAGAGGTTCTGGACTCTACTTCCTTGTTTGCTCTGTTTTACCTTTGTTGTACCATGAGGGTGCAAAATGTCACTTGGGGTTATTTCAGCAGTGAGGATGCTCTGAGGGATCTCTGGGATGTGACTCTTGTTGCCTGGGAAGAAGACTCCAAATAACAACTGCAGCATCCAGCCATTCGTTTGAGCTTTGTCCTGGCCAAAAGAAGTGCCCTCAGAACACTGACCTACAGTGAAAGTTCCAGATCATCAGGAAACTCTCAATAATTTACAATTTCAACAAAATTAAGGCTAGATAAAGCCTTAGAAATGCATTAGAAAACATGTCATGACATAGCACAAGCACAGACCTAGTATTACAGCATAAAAACCCCAGGTGTCTTTGTCACCAGTGTGACCAAAATTTCTTCGCTGGCCTCCAACATCATGATCCATATGATCTCTGCACAAAAACAAGTCATATGAGCCAGGCAACAGACGGAGATCTCTGCTCCATCTCTAAACAACAGCCTGGGTGAGTCCATCCATCCCCCCAACACACACACTTCTAATGTTGAAGAAAAAGGCAGACAAATTAACTGAACAGAGGCCAAATTATTCAGCCTGGGATTAAAAAAAAAAGCCTTCCTGGTGTTGTGTGTATGTAGCATTGTATTTTTACAAGTTATAATTTACATACTTAAACCAGAATAAAACTAACCGTAGGTCAGTGTTCTCACCCTGCTCCCCCTTTCTTTTACAACCCCTCCTCCCCACCAGTACACAGTGGAAACTGTTGGCTGTGACTGTCATGTATACTGGAACACTCAACAGTTTGTCAGATCATTATTTTACTCTCTAAAATAGAGCAGCTTTTTGCCTGTCTTCCTGGTCAGCTCTGCAGACTTCGGGGGTCAAAATGAATGCTCTCTGCACTTAGTACTGATACCCACAGGCTGAGAGGAGAAACGCACTGTTACTCTTTGGGTATCTGCTGCAGAAATGCTCATCGTGGCCCTGACTCACAGAGACCTACAAGAACTTAAGTCCTGCTCTAGGGGGTAAGCTTAAGTTGTATTTAGTAGGGTTTGGTCTCCCAAATAGCGCTGTGAGTCTAAGAGCAGTCTGAGGAAGCACAAGGTCAGTCGGAATAGTTGTGTCCTGCTGCAAACAGCGGAGCGCTGCAGGCAGCACTGAGGAGCCAAGCAGGCCTGCAGGACTATCACAGCTGACCCTGCACAGGACGTAAATGTCCACCTCAGGAGATTTCACAGGACTAATCGTTAAGGAGGGAGTGAGGCCATGGAGCAGGACAAGTGAGCAACACAGAGCCAGGCCAGCAGACAGTGCCAGACTGTCTTCCACAGCAGCGCTTTACAGGCTCTCGGGTGATGGTGCACTGGGCAAGGGCTATGCACACCAGTGCCAGTCCCTATCCCACACAGAATCTACAGCCTACAATTGCTCCTCCTCTCTAAAATCAGTGTATTTAATTTCAGTCAGCATTGGAAACAGATGGTGATATCACTTTTAGTGTCTCTTTCCAAAGCAGATGCACAAATGTAGTTTGTGGGTAGTAATGATCAATGATTACAGCCTGTGGTCTGCAGAGACTTAGGAGTCAATGGATTATTTTGATAGAGAAGAAAGAGAGGAAAGCCCATACATACACCATCTAAGGAAGTCTGCACCACTGCTGGAAACATTTCAGTGCTCCAGAAGGCACAGGAAAATGAAGTGGGTTTATTCCTGACACCACCTAAAACTGCAGTCATAGCATAGTATCAGTGTTCATGCTGAAAGATCCTTCTTGATATAAACATGAGCAACTCAGAGCTAAATTAGAAGGATGAATTATAGATGGGAAATGGGAATTTGAAATGGATAGTCTTTGCTTGTTACAGACACTGGAGAAGGAAAATTCCCTGTGTTTTAATTATAAATCAAACTTAGATGTGGTCAAATAGAATATGTTAATGACATGAATAATGAACACTATTCCCAAGACTTGCTCGTGTTTCTTAGAAAAATGGCTGCTTCCCAACTGGTGTTTTTTGTCTGCTGGGGAACCCATAAAATGAAAACAAAAGACTCTCCACAGTTTTCAGGAACTATTACAGATGCTATTGTCTCTTGTGGTCTTGAACCAACCCTCAGCAGGGGATACCTCAGAGACCAACCATTCATTATCTGGGTCTCAGTTTTGAAAATGCAATTCCTAAGCATAATCTGCTCAAAAGAAAAACACAAATGATGATTGTTGCAAGCCATTTCCAGGCACTTCCTCTGATTTTAAGGTTTGTATGGATTTCTGCTGCATTCTGAGCTCCAGCATGAATTCAGAGGCAGTGAAACCTGGTGAGAGTGAAATCAGAATGTTGTAGAAATGCATTTATATAAAGAATATTTAGATGTAGACTAGAGAACACAGAAATTTGTAAGATAGGCCATTTCATAAAAGTATTGTATTGTGTTCACCTGCAGAATGGAAATGTACTGTGCAGCAGAATAAGATGCCCAAGTCTACACTGTCCTTCCCCTGTGCACGTACCACAGCTGTGCTGCCCACGATGCCCAGGTAATTCCTACTAATGCCGTACAGTCCTTGCTGAAATAGGTGTTTAAGATGATGAGGAACAGCAACATTAAATGCCTGTGCTGGAAAACTTCTGTGAAGTAAACATCCTTCTATGTCCCTTTAGGTCATGAGAGGTTTGCCCTACAGGTGGTTTAGGAAATTGAAGTACAGATTTGGGAAGGGATCAGGCAAACTCCCAAGTCCAGTCCCCTACAGTCTAAGCAGAAGGCAGCAGAAGTTTCACTGCTGGAGTCTATGGACTATCTGCTCCCAACTCCTTCCCTTATCTCTAAACTGCATCACAATAAAACCCCATCCCACAAACTTCCTAGGTTTCTGCTTTTGGTGCTTTCCCTAACAGCAGGCTGAAATACATGGTTATTTGCAGTGGTTCTCTGTTAACAAGCAGTTCAAAATTGCTGTGGCAAATGTGCATTTGTATAGTATCACTGTACAACTAGTCTGGTAACATTTGCTTTTTACATCTCAAATCCAGGCATAGCTTCATAATTAGTAGAGACTGTTGTAAATCATAGAAGCAGTGCTGTAGGAGTTTATGACTATATAAATCCAATGGGATACTGTATAGTAAATTCCTCCAGACTGTACATTTATTATATGCTCATTATTAAGAGCCACTGTATGAAAGAGACTAAGCAGGATCTTTCACGAGGCTGTTACAACATTCCCGACATGGCCTAATGGCTGGTAGATTTGACTGGAGCTTTCCCCTAGATGTCTGTCTTAGTGGCACCCCTCGTTTCCATTTATAAAAGAGTATTCATGCAGCATCACAGAAAGGGTTTATTTGATTTTCTCCAGAGAGTTTCATTGTCTGAGGAAAACAGCTGTTCCCTGACCAAAACCTGTGAGCAGGAGGTGGTGCCCAGTGGAGAGTGCACAAGCAGTTTGCTGTTCAGCTGGGACTGGAGTGTGTTCGTTGCGCTTACTGGAGAATAAATGACACCAACCCACCAGTGTTTTGTAGGATTCATCTGTTCTGACTATCATGTACATCTGTACATAAGATGTCTAGATCAGCGTCCAATCTAGGTATCTAGAATCCTTTTCTTATCAGTGATGAGGAAAAACCATTTCAAGTGCATAACTCCTCCAACGCTATGATGCCACTCTTAGCACAGAATCCTAGGCTGGTTTGGGTTGGAAGGAACCTTAAAAACCCAACTAGTTCCAACCCCCTGCCATGAGTAGCCACAACTGCCACTACACCAGGTTGCTCAAAAACATTCTCCTTGTGTCCTGGGATGAAATTCATCCCATTCAACTTCAGATCTAACACTTTGGCACCTAGTTGATGGTACAGTGTTACCTATGATGGTCTAATACATAGGCAAGAAGGTTTGTAAGGTAATATGTTTTACATGACTAACTAGTAGCATTAGATTAAGTGGTAGGATGCTGGGAACACAAACCCCTCTTCTGCCTTCAGATCAAAAGAAGGATTGGTGTGCCAGTGCGCCCCAAACCTGTCTGTTTTTGCAGCTCATCTAAGCTTCAGTTGGGAAGGGAATCATGTAGATACCCTTCACAGCTGTTGGAAACGTGCTGTCCCAGAGGGTCATTCATCCTGTTACCCAGAATGAGAAGTTTTCCCTGGAGATGCCCATCTCTCTCCACTGATTACTGAGGGAGCACAGGCAAATAGAGCTGACACTAGATGCTCGCTTTTTGACATCTTAAGTTAAATCACAGCAATCCCACCCCAGTATGTGACTGGCATTTGGGGTCAGGAACTTCTTTCTTTTTTAAGTATCTCTGTAGAGTATTTAGTATAGAAACAATTGCTTCAGAGTGACTGGGTTTGCTTCAAGTGCTCTCTGGCACTGCACTGTTTGGCTGTTTTCTGTTTAGGGGACTGTAAATGTTGTGATACTTATCAAGATTTTAAAACATTCTCCAATGACCTAGTAAGGAAGAATACGGGTCCCTGTAAACTCTCAAATCCTTCTTATCAAGTGAAGTTCTTGCTGTTCACAGTCTTCAGGTAGAATTTTGTACTGGGTGTTTAAACTGATAAATCCAGAAAATTACCAGAACGAGCCTTTCCTGAATTGTGATCCATTATGTTCTCCTGCAGGCTCCTAAAATCCATCTATAGTCTATCTGCTACATATTAAATGAGTTTGATATGTAAATTAAATTGCTGGCTGGGCAGCATCTCATTAGAAATAAGAGTCCCACTAAGGTCTATTTTTTCCCTAACTGAATCCATAATTCAGATAGAGTTGCACCGACATCAGGCAAAAGAGGACCAGGAATCTCCTGTGATTTCAGGGATTATTTGCATTCTGCTTGCTGCAGTGATTATTTGTATCAAATTTAGTGTCCTGCCTTCAGTAGTAATGTTCATGCCTGATCTGAGTAGGAATCTCAAGCATTCTTGCACATGTTATGCTAGCTTTCCATTCCTGTGTCTGGCATACAATGTCTTTTGTGCAGCATCCCATGATAAGCTGGAATTTCACTTCTCTGGTTTCCCTGGTTATTCTGTAATGGAAAGTGATAGAGCTCTGGCCATTAGCCACCCATCTGAATGACTATAACTGCTCATCATATTGTCATGAAGGTTTCTCCTCTGTTCCTCAGGCTCATTTCAGAAATGAGTAGTGCTACTTAGAGTGACTTTGGGCTCTTCCTCCTGCTTTTCTGCAAGAGTGAGAGTGGAACTTGTAGAGTGTAGCCTTGTAGAGTGTAACTGCCCAAATAACTGCCTCCTTATTTAATGAAGCAGAGGTAATGCCAGGAGGCAGCAGCTTTCATTGGAAACTGAACTTCATAACTACCTAAGTGGAGGAGCTGTTGAAGGGATTCCTTTGAGAAAAGTTGGCACCACTCTCCCCTTGGAATTCATGTCTCCTGCATCCATAGTGACACTGGACTTGCTAACACAAAGAGATGCAGTGTTTGTACCCTGTCTCCCTGGCACCAGCCACCATGAATCTTAAGTAGTTGTCAGACATACGTTATGAAGCATCTTCTACTTTTCACCAGTGGTTCAATCCTACCAGCTTTTCTCACAGATTCACTGCTGACCTTTCTTTGTTTTAAATATCTTCTTTCTAGCACTGGCACAATCCAGACCTTGTGTCATGCATAGAACAAGGTACTCCTCCCTTTTGCAGCTCTGAAAAGTATTTTATTATTTGAATTAGATTCTTATCATCACACATACGTGACCAGAAGTACTAGGTTCACATACATTGGGACTCTAGTGAGACCTAAAAGGACATCACATGCTTCTGAGCTTGTTATAGAGTGAAGGAGAGAATTCACCATCATACTTAGAGCTGGATCAGCTCTGAGTTAGAGTGGACTTCAGACCTCCTGCCTCCTGTCATGAAAAAAAGCTTCAAGGACAAGTTCTTGAAGCATTCAGCTGCAGCTCTATTTCCTTTATGGCGCTACTATGGACGGAGCCTTTACAAATGGAACATTTATTGTAGGCTGCATCACTTCTACATGAAATGATTGCAAATCAAAGCATTCCGAGTCTAGCTAAAGACCTAAAATTATTGAGTACAATCTGCAGTATGTAAATCTAAGACAGGGGAAGCTTACGTCAGAAGCAAAAAGGCACAACTGCAGGAGTTAGAAAGGGTTTCCATATTGCACTTGCTGGTTTGATTTCTGAGCAGATAAGGCTGCACGCTGATGTATGGAGCAGCCCATCTGGCTCCAGTATTTTCAGTTAGTTGATGCCCTGACTAAACACACTGGCTTCCAAGAGTATTCATGATTAGTAACACATTTAAGTTTAAGCTCCTTTGGTACTATGATGGTTCTCTATCAAATTCAAACCACTTTTCTGATGTACTTTTTGTTGTTCTTTAGATGATAGTGAAATAACAACAAAATGCCAGGCTGTACCTATATACAAAGCTGGACTAAATACAGCTTTGTATAAATAAATGGACCAGACCAGGTATTGCCACAGTGGTCTGAGAACATCACCTGAAAAATCAAACAGCTCTGTCTGCATGGTAGACTGCAGCATGACTTAGTAATAGCTGAATCTTTGAACTGGCTATTTTAGACCCTGGCAGCAGCCTAGTTAGGACAGTGAAGAACTCACCACAGTGCAAAACTTGCTTAAGAAGCCTGCAGTGAGCTCAGTGCTACGTTCTCACAATTCCTTCCAGGAACTCAGCTTGTCCAGGTAACACACTGCAGTCAGACTCAGCCTTGCAAGGTGCTGAGCATATACAGCTCCTGCTGATCTGATACGCATCATATGTATAAATACAGAATACTACATATACATGTATGTATTACAGTGCATCTTGCACTGAATTACAACCTAGATCTTCCACGTGGGCAGTTGGGATGCTCTGGTGGAATGATTTTCCACTGCAGAATGTACACACAATAAGCCATTTGGTGAAGAGGTTTTGGGTTCCACCCAGCTCACGCCCCAGAGCTCCAGGCTCTCAGTTCCAATCTTCTCACCCTTCTATTCGGAAGAACCCAATCTAGATCACAAATATTTGTGGGATGGAGGAAGGCATATTGTGCCCAGCTCCTCCATTCTCTATACAGCTCTTGTTGCTACCACCCGTCCTTCTGATATCACTAAATGAGAAACTCATGGCTCAGATCTCACTGGAGTTACAAGGAGTTTTAATTGCCTTGAATAGGTGGGTGTGACACCTGCGTAGGAAAGAGAAAAACCCCATAGTATGGTAATATTGAGATGTTCAGCTGGTCTCTTACTGAACACATCCTGTTTTCTGTGATGTTAGTAAAAGAACAGTTGTTACCTCCCATATGAAAATATCTCTGTTGACAGATGCTGCACCTCTGAAATTAAAGTCAGAAACACTTTATATCCCGAATTCCAGACTGAAAACAAACTATTGTAGCAACACTCAGGATTGAGAATTTTTATAAGTAACCTGGTGAAGGGCATATCGTCCTTCTAAAAGTTGTGCCTGAACCAATACACATGGTTCAAACACCTAAATATGTCATGAGACTTTGGA